AGACTCTGAGGCAGGGGGGGGAGCGGGCGGGGGGGATCAGACCCAGAGGTGGGAGGGGGGTGGGCAGGGGGGGTCAGACTCCCAGGCGGCGGGGGGCAGGCGGGGGGGTCAGACCCAGAGGCGGGAGAGCAAACATCTCAACCTGTGTCCGTGAACTAACTTTGATGTAAAGTTAAAAAATAGTGATAAAAAATAAAAGAGAAGAAAAGAGAACCACGGCTCAGTGTGAACTTTTCAGCCACTGGACCGGTGTCGTCAGAAGCCCGGGGTCCTTGTCGCAGTGAAAGTAGGGAACGTCACCTAAGGGTGTCCGTTATTGACACCTGACGCCCGCATTTGTTTGCTGACTGCTCCGAGGGCGCGTCTGCACCCTCGGCGCCCAGAGCCGGCTCTCCGGCCCCGGTACTGATACCGTCTGGCCCTCTCGCGCCCCATCGGCCCCGGTTCCGCGGGGGAAGCAGGCTGGGCCTCGGCCGCCCGCCTGCCCCTGGTCCGAGCCTCGAGCTCCCAGGTCGGAGCCTCTGCGACGTCCGCGGGGCCCTGGGGACTGTCCGCAGCCTCGCCCGTGGCCGCCGCTCGGGAGTCACGGCCTCGCCTGGCTCGGGAGACGGCTGGTTCCCGGTCGTGCCCTTCTGGGCGTCAGCGGGTCCACCCCACGCGGCCCGTGTCCTCACCGGGACCAGGTCTCCGACCCCCGGGCCGTCAGCACCCCTCCCTCCCACCCCGAGCCCGTCCGGCCCGAACGCACCTGTGTCGTCCGCGTCACCTCCTCCGGGGAGGCCGCCCGGCCCGGCCGCAGGTGGGGAAGGTCACACAGGCTGGTCCAGGGACTCTGTGCGGCAGATGCTCCCGCCGGGCATCCGTGGGCCCTGATCTGTCGCCCGCTGCTCACTGAGCCCAGGCCCCTCGTCCGCCGGGACAGGGACCCTGATGAGTCGTCCGCGGGGCCCGCTGCTCACTGAGCCCAGGCCACTTATCTGCCGGGACAGGAAACGTCCCCAGGCCGCCAGCCCCCGTCTCCTGCACGAATCTGCCCTTCGCCATTTATCAGCATCTCCAGTTCCGGTTTCTGCAGCTGCATCTCTGGTCTCAGGGTCTCATGCTGGGCATCCTGTTCTAGAACCTTCCGTGCGCGGCCCCCCCCCCCCGTGTCAGCTCCTCTGCATTCAGGCGGAGGCCAGCCCGTTCTAAAAACTCTGGTCCTGATAGACGCTGGGGCGATGCTGGTGACGGCTCACAGTGCTTCCCGTTCGCCGGCTTTGCTCACTTCAAAACCACTTTATCCTGCGGTGTAGACCACAGACCCCCAGGCATGGTTGTAAATGCGGGTCTGGGACGAGCATGCTCTGGAAACTGCCCGGCTTTGCTGCCCTTTCA